ATAAAATGATCTCTTTGTGTTTCCCCTTTCCCTGTGGCTGCCAGGAAGCTCAGAGACAAGTAATAGTATTACTGTAGGAGTCAGAGTCAGAATATTTCCTTTCCACCCCCATGTATGTGGCTCCTTCAGCTAAAACCTTCTTGGGTCCTTTATGGGAGGAGCATGTATAAGTAAACATTTATGTAATAAGCCCTGGGGAGAGCACAGGGAAAGGATCCAGGTTTAAGAACAGAAGGCTTGGGTGAATCCCTTACCGTCTCTGAGCCTCAGGCTCCTCCTTGGAAGCCTGGGGTAGGAGACCCTGCTGCAGCTTTTGGACATTGCCAGCTTTCCTGCGATGAAGACTGGCCACTGCCCAGGCCTCAGGTAGGGTCACGGTCAACGTCCTCCCTGCTGAGGCTGTGAAGCCTGTAACCTTGAACACCTTCACACTTTAGACCCAGTACGGCCAGAATTTTTATTTTTAAAGAGGAGTCAGAAAAAAGATTTTTATGTGAAATCTCCTGACTTATAAATGTTGCCAATTAATTTGCATTTTTTCAGGAATTCTCTGGCGGTCCAGTGGTTTGGGCTCGGTGCTTTCACTCCCAGGACCTGGATTCGATCCGTGGTCAGGGAACTAAGATCCTGCCGGCTACATGGTGCAGAAAAAAAAAAAAAAATTGCATCTTTTCAAAACACTGTGTGGGACATACCAAACTTGGCTGCTGGCCAGATGTAGTCTGAGGCCTTCAGTTAAGCTGAATACATCTCCAATAGGGACTGTCTGGTGTGTTCAAGCTAGGGGTGGGGGAGCAGTTTTCATCATTTCTTCTGAACCCTGCCTTCCCGAGGTAATATCCCAAGAGACCTGACAGTAGGACTCGGCGTCAGGTTCTGAGATGACCTGTGCTCAGGTCATGTTGACTGGTCCAGATGGGCCCTGACCCAAGCTGGACCACACACAGGACCCTGCCCCAGCCTTGGGTGATGAGTTTAAAATGGGCGCCTGACCTAGGATGAGCCATGAATCCCACCCCTGAGATATTTGTGCTTGCAGCCAGAGAGAGGGACAGGGTAACTCTCCACTGGCTGGAGCTGTAAGACAAAAGTTGCCAGAAGTTGGCTGCTACATTTTCCATGATGGGGGGCATCGGGGTTGGTTAGTGAAGTAGGTATACAGAAGCAGGAATAAAAAATAGCTTGAGGGGCCTTCCCTGGCTGTCCAGTGGTTAAGATTCCACGCTTCCACTGCAGGGTGCACGTGTTTGATCCCTGGTCAGGGAACTAGGATATCACGGGACACTGGTGCGGCCAAAAAAAAAAAAAAAGGGGGTCTGAGAAAGAATTCTAAGGGGGTCTGAGTGGCTGCTTCTGGTTGTCCTGAGTCCCTGCTACTTTCCTGTCCTACAGGACCGGAACACTCCAGGGTCTTTGTGATAACTTCCCCTTCTCACCCAAGCTAGTGGAGGTGGGGCTTCTGTCCTTCACAGCCATCAGTCCTAACTCATGCACATGGTTCTGCTTGGGCTCTTCCAGTTTCCTGATGAGTAACAGCAGCACGGGGCTCCCAGTCCTGGCCTCCCAGCCACCACCACCACCCCCCACCACCACGCCTGACACCTCTACTCACTTGGGTTAGCACTGAAGGAACTCGTGAAATCCAGAGCCTCATAATGAAAGAAGTTCATCCCCTCAGGGAAGGCAGCTCAGAATACAGTGGGGCTGGCACTGCCAGAGAAACTGAGGCAGTGTGGGACTGGCTACCCAGTGGGTGGTGCTGGTTACCCCCATTCTTGTGTGAGGTGATCTGTAAGGCACTGGAAGGGCCCTGCCCTCCAATGGGTCCTACCTCCGCCACGCCCTGCCTGCCCTGGAAGTCCATACCCAGAGCACTGATTCACATGCTCACCAAATTCTGAGGGTTCCTGCCCACCCTCCCCACCCCAGACCCCCAGTCCCAAACCCAGGCACTAGTAACCCCCTGGGTCACCCCGGGTGGGTCATTTCTCTCCGTGCTTGTTTCCTCTTCCGTAAAGCAGTGTCCTCAGTCCCTCTTGGGTTTTGCCCAGCATCCCTTCCCCTCCTTTAAGTAACAGCTGCAACCTACCCCCACCCCCTCAGACCATGTGATCAGTAGAGCCAACTCCACCCCTGGATGCCGGGGTGGGTGCCAGAGCTGCCTGGTAATCAAGGCACCCCCATCCCCTAAGCTCGTAAGCCTTGGGGGATGACAGGAGCCCACCCCCTGAGGTTGTGCAGGAACAGATGCGTGCTCTCACCTGAAATCAAGGCACAAGGGCTGCATGAGCCTGGGGCTGCCAGGGCACCTTTGTACCACGTGGAGAAAATCCACCTGAAGGAAGCCCACAGGGCTTAACAAGATGGAGAGAGAGAAGGATGGAGAGCTGGAGTGACCCAGTGACATCCTTGAGCCCCAGGGTCCAGCTGAGCCTGAGTCCAGAACCAAACCCTATTATTGCAGCTGTTTTCAGTTTGGTCTCTTGTGCCTGCAAGAGTCCTGGGCGGTAGTGTGGTGGGGAAGCTGCCTGGTGTGGGGGCGGGGGTGGGGGGAATCCCTGTGGGCTGCAAAATGCTCTGCTGGGTCAGAGGTCAGGGCTGTGAGACTCAGAAACAGCAGGGCTGGGCCTAGGGTGAGGCAAGAGAGGTGCTGAGAATTGAATGAGGGGGCCCTCTTGCCTCACTCTAACCTGGCTCTGCAACACAGCCCCCTGCAATTGCTGGGTTGCCCCAGGGAGGAAGGGCAGCCTCGCCCCTGGAGATGAGAGAAGGCAGCTTTTGCTCTCGCTGACTCCTAAGATGGGGTGTGTGCAAGAGCGAGCCCGGGTCTGGGGTCAGGAGGTCTGGTTCAAATCTCAGCCTGTTGTCCTGTTGCCTTGGCAAGTCCCTGTGAAAATGGAATGGCAGCTGCCTCTGTGTGTCCTCCCCCTTTCAAGGAGGGGGACTTTTTTCTTTTTCTTTTTTTTTTAAAATATCTTTATTGGAGTAGAGTTGCTTTGCAATGTTGTGTTAGTTTCTGCTGTACAACAAAGTGAATCAGCTATATGTAAGGAGGGGGACTTTTTAAATGGACACACAGCCACCCAGCTCTTCCCAGCCTCCCTTGCAGCTAGGAGTAGCCACGTGACTATGTATTGACTGGTGAGGTGTAAAGGGATGTAAGAGGTCCAGCCAGCAGGAGTGTCCCTCAAAGGGGCAAGTGGCCCCTTCTACCCTCCCTCCACCCTGCTCCTCGGGATGCCGAAGAGCCCCCCTCGGGTGGCACCAACCAGGACAACAGCCCTGCAGCAAGAGAGGAGCAACTCCGGTCCCCGAACACTGCATGGAACTGTCCACCAGATCAGCTCTGGACAACCTCCCTATGAAGTGTACCGTAAGAAAGAAAAACGTTCTACTTGGTTTAAGGCCCTGCCGTTTTGCATCTCTGTGCCTGAATTTATATCCTAACTGGTTCTCTACCCCAGGGAATCCAGTTAGTTAGGGGGGAGGGCACAAGTGCTACTGGTTTCTAGTGGGTAGAACCCAGAGATGCTCATCACCCTACCACACACAGGACAGCCCCCCTACAAAGAATGATCTGGTCCCACAAGTCAATGGTGCCACTGCTGAGAAACTGCCCTTTCCTCTTGCAGATTCAGTGCTCCCATCCCCCAAACGGGGGGTATTGAACTATCAGGATTTTTATGAGGACCCAGTGAGATGATAGACACGATCCTAGGCTTAGGAAAGGAGACAGTCCTGCAAAGGTAGTCACGGAGCCTTTGTTATTGAGATAAATTAAGATGGACGCCCCAAAGGAGGGGAGTGAGCAGGTTGCCAATCTATGTCCAAAAAGGAGGCAGTGGTGCTCCACAGAGAAGGAGAGGCTCCAGGGTGGGCTTGGGGCCCCTGGTGCAGTGCAGGACCCGGAGCGGAGGGCAGGGGCTCCTGCCAGTGGCCTCAGCCTTGGGAAAGGGAAGGGATAGGGAAGTCCAGCCGAGGGAGGGGGGTGGGAACTGCTGGTGGTCCCCACACTGCCCACAAAGCTCACCCCATCCCCACCACCTCGCATCCTGCCTGGGGGCCACCCCCCTCACACAAACATGCTTCTCCTCCCCTCCGCACGCCTGACCCCAAACGTTCTCTCTCTCTCTCACACACACACACACACCTCCTTCCTCTATGGCCTTGCCCCTTGCACATCCCACCACAAACACTCGTCCATGCCAAGCCCGGGTCCAGAGTGGTAGGACTGGGCTGGACTCAGCTGACATCCCTCCAAAGGGGGCCCTTTCCTTGGGTCAGCTTTGAAGCCTGGCCCATGAAGCTGTAGGGTCGATACCATTGGCTGGAGTGGGGAGCTGAGTGTCCCCGAGGATCTGGTAGGGAAGTGGGAGATCTGAAGGCTCAGGACAGGCAGAGGCAGCCATGCCTGACGCCGGGTGGAGGGGCAGGAGTGCTGGGCAGCACAAAGGCACTGGGGGGCCGTGGGGCGTCCCCGGAGCTGGGGAGGGCAGGTGTGGGATAAGCTGGCTTGACCTGGAGAGCAAGCCCTGGGCCATCAGCAGCGACATCTCAAGGCACCCAGGTGCCCCACAGCCAGGGTCCTCCCAGAGCCCCTCCTCCTGGGAGGAGCCAGGCTGCGAGGGAGAGCCTGGACGACCAGAGATTCTCCTCCGTCTGCCCCGGGGTCTCCAGGCCGGGCGGGACGGGAGAGGGCACCCGGTGCCCGCCCCCCACCGCCAACAGAGCCGGTCAACTCAGACCTCGGGGCCCCCGAAGGCCAGGTTGTCGCGAACCATCATTGTCTTGCGGAGGTCACGGTCCACCAGGGGACGCTGCATGCGCCACTTGTGCGCCTCCTGCAAACCGGGCTCGAAGTAGTAGATGCAGGCGCCGAAGCCCACCAGAATGAGGACAGAGATGAACAGGTAAACAGGCACGAACCAGTCCAGGAAGTGCGGCATCGCGGAGGCCTTGGCTGCTGAGACGCGGTCGGTGAGAACCAGCAGAGAGGCTGCTTATCACACCCACCCTCCCAGAGGGGGACCCGCAGGCTTCACAGAGCCAGGAGGTCGGAGCTTCACCTTACGGCTGTGAAGACGGAGACCCTGGAGAGTGGAGAGCAGTGACTCAGCAGCCCCGGCCCCCTGACCAAGCACACAGCTGCCCCCACCCCAGGGGCCCACCCAGCTCCTACTCACCCTTCTACAAGGAAGCTTATAGCTGAGGGCTGGCCCTGGCTCAGTCCCTCAACAGTATGTGTGCCCTCAGGCAGGTTGCTTAACCTCTCTGGGCCTCAGCATTGTCCCCTGCAGAAGGGGACGCTACCAGAGCCTTGTGGGGATTCAGTGAGGTGACTGACCCCTCAGAGCACTCAGAAAAGGACAGCTGGGGCCATGCCTCCTCTGAGCTGTCCCTCCCGGCTCTGACTGCCACTTACTAGGCCCCTCACAGATGAGTGGGTCCCCAGCCACCCGTGCATCCTGGCTAGGTGTGGCTTAGTGAAGGCATGGTGAACAACTGCCCATCCCTAGGGGACCTGGTTGATATCAACAGGCTCTGCACAGGCTCCCGAATTCAGGCCCATGCCCCATTTTATAATTATAAGAGTATGGACACAGTGCCAGCCCCAAAAGACTTAGACATTGGTTTCCACATCCGTAAGATGGGAGTGAAAACAGTATCTAGGTCATAGGGCTGTTGTGACTGTTAAAAGAGTTAATTTACGTAAAATGCTCAGAACCAGTGCCTGGCACTTACCAAGTGCTACATAGTAGTTTGTTCTTAATTCTCTGGGCCTCAGTTTCCTTATCTGGAAAATGGGCATAGAAGTAGGACCCACTTCTTAGGGTCTCTGTGAATGTTTAACAAGCCAATGCCTAAGGAGCACTTAGCATCACGCTGCTTGGTGCAGAATCGGCACCCAGTGAATATCAGCTATTGTTATTTCCAGTGCACCAGAGGTGGGGAACACAGGAAAGTGGAAGCTAGCAGGTTTAAGGTGCTTCACAAGTTTTACATACACCCAGACTCTTTAGAATGGCCCAGAGATGCCCACATCTGCTCTCTGCCAACCTTGCCAGCCTCATCTCCCACACTACGTGCCATCACAGGGAACCACTTGTCAATCACCTATGTGCATCTGCATGTTATACAGTCTACATCTTTGCATATGCTTTCATTTTCCTTGGAATGTCCTTTGCATTCATGTTCATGTGGCAAACTCCTATACATACTTCAAAAGCCCCACCACAGGTTATCTCCTCCAGAAATGGAATAAATCAGGGCCCATTTAACCCACCCTCAGCCCTTCCTGAGGTGTGAAAAAGGGGTAAGGTGAGGAGCCCCACTTCTGCCTGTCAGGCAGGGAGACCACAGTCAGAATGCAGTCACAGACCTTACAGAAGGCCTATGGGGTAGGTGTTACTGTGCACATTTTACAGACAAAGAAACTGAGGCCCAGAGAAGTTCACTAACTTGCCCTGAGTTACCCAATTGAGAAGTGACAGAGCTGGATTCCAACTCCCCAGCGATGTCCTGAGGTTTGATGGGGAAAATACCTGAACGGAATGAAATGAGCAAAGGCCCACCTTGTCTTCTAGGGAGGGAAGAAAGGGGATGCATGGAATGACCTCCAGGGCAGGCTGAAGAGAAGCTCCAGCTTTTCAGACCTCTGTCTCCAAGCTCCAGCTCCTCTTGTCCCTCTACTGCCAGGTGGGTCTACGAGGTGGGCTGTGAGGCCAGGGGAGGGAGAGGTGCTGCTTCCCAGTCCTGTGTCCACCCAGAGCCCCTCCCCTGCCCTCCAGGGTCCCCACTGGCTGTTCTGAAACACAGTGTCTCAAGGTGCCCTATTCTCCTCATGGAGAAATAAAATGAAGAGTGTGCTAATGGCCCAAAGTCAGGGTTAGAGCAGTGTCCTCCTAACCATCTGTCCTTCCGTAGAGCCAAAGAGAGGGTTCAGAATTGCTTGGTGTGGCCTGGGTTTAGGGGGAGGTGGAGAAGGGGACCTACAAGCAGAAAGGCTGCTCCAAACTAGCCTGACTGAGGCCAAGTGATTCGTGCCCCCTCCCCTGGCCCCACCCAGGACCCCAGCCTCCTCTGAGCTTAAACATGAGAATGGGGAACTTGGGCAGGTCAGAAGCCATTTCAGCTGCAATGCTGTGGGCCTGTGAAGCAGTGTTCAGGGTCTCCCAACCTCTCCAGCCCTGTGAACAAAATCCCAGGCATTCTGGGGCCACTGAGGACCCCAGACCTTCTCCTGGCTTCTCAGAGGACTGGCTTAGCTGAAGCAAAACATTCACTGGCCTTCTGTGTGACCTTGGGCCCCTCCTCACCCTCTCTGAACTTCCAGGGTTCCCTGCACAGTGATGGGGTGGGGGCGGGGGCTATCAGATGATCTATAAGGAATTTTCTAGCCCCCATTCCAGCTAAAGTCCCAACCAGGACAGTGTGAGGGTTGCAGAGCCCCTCTCCCTGCCTCCCAAGCACCACTCAATCCTCCACCCCGACCCCCGTGCCCGCACACCCACCTCAAGCCCTGCAGATGCCTGTTCCGAGGGCTCCGGGCTGAGCGCACAGCCTCGGCCTAAGCAGCTCAGCGTCGGCCCGTGGACTCAGTCGCAGCTGCCGTCCCCAGAGATGCTGCCATCTGCAGCCGCCCCGGGTGCTGGAAGCAGAGAAAGGGCGAGGCCAACGCCCCCTACGGGAGACAGAGTTTCTCAGGCCCAGGGGGTCTGACTGGGCCAGGAGGGGGCAGTCCTGGGCTAGCTCCGGCAGCCTGTACCTCTCCCTGCCCGTTGGAGACCCTTCTCTCTGCCCCCCACCCTCAGAATAGCGGGAGGTGGGACCTGCCTTAGCCAATCAGCAGCCTGGCAGAGCAAGGGCTTTATCCTCTGTTGCCCTGGCAACCAGCCTTCTCTTCAGGATCCCTTGCACTGTGCACATGGTACAGAGATGACAGGCAGAGCAGGGTTGGATAAATTCGGGACAGGTGGGAGCCACCCAGCAGGCTGCTGGACCCCACGGCTACTAGACCTAGAGAGGAAGTGGCCCCTACCAAGATAACTAGGAGGATTTGGCCACTTGTCATTTGAGGGTAGGGAGAGATTGGGGTCCCTGGCACGTGGGCAGGACACAGAAGCAATGACCAGTAGAGCCAATGAGGGTCATGTGTTATAGAGGGAAGAACCAAGACTGAGATTCTGGACACATTGGTCCAAAGTAACATTTACCATATGCCAGACACTGCTTTCAGTGCTTTCCATATTTATGTTAACTCATTTCTTGGTCATCCAAGGTCACATGGCAAAAGTCTCAGTGGCAGGGTCGGAGCCCTAGCCTGGGCTGCAGGCCCGCTCGCAGGGGCTGCCCTCCTCGTTCTGCCTCACCAGCCCCGGAGACCCCCTGGCTGGGATACAGCCTGAGATGGTCGTGGCTCCCAGCCACGGAGCCCTCCCCGCCAGGCCAGGACTGGGCCCCACATCACTTCATCTGGTCCTCCAGCTGGTTAGTTGTTGAAGCCCACTTTGGGGTTGAGGCAGCTTCGGCTCAGAGACGTGAAGCTGCTTACCCTCTCCTTCTTCAAGGTCACTCAGCTTCTCAGTGACAAAGCCAGGGCGTGTGCGGGGGTGGGCTGGAGGTGAGGGTCTACCTCCCAAGCCTGGGTCCTCCCTCCTATGCTAGAGACAGAGTGTTTGCAAAGTTTCAGAGGCCCAGTGAGCATTCCATAAACAGCAGTGGTTGTCGTCTCAGGAGGAGAGAGCAGCCCCGGAGGCCCACGGGATGGGGAAGAGTCTTCGAGGAACCATCTCCCTGGAGAATCCGTTCCCAGAAACTGAGAACGGGCAGGTGGCAAAGGCTATGGGTCAAATGGCTTTGGGTCTCTGGGTCCCCCACCCTACAGACACCCTGCCATCTGTGGGACGATCTGGGAGTCCTGCAAGTGTCCTCTCCAGCATATGTGGGCCAAGGGGAGTGAGTTTGAGTTTCCAGAGAGATTTTTATTGAGATCTAAGGTACATACAGTAAAATACAAACCTTAAGTGATGAATGTTTACCTGTGTATACACCTTTGCAGTTGCCACCCAGACCATGTCTAGGATATTTTCATCATCCCAGGCAGTTCCCTCCCGTCTCTTGCCAGTCAGTACCGCCTTCCCAAAGGCACACACTGATATGATTTCTGTCACCATAGATTAGTTTTTCCTGTATTTGTATTGCACGTGAATGGAATCTTATGGTATATGCTCCTTTGTGTCTGACTTCTGTTGCTGAGCACAATGCTTTTCTCTGCACTGACGATGTTGCCTTACCAATGTACCACAGCTTATCTGTTCACCACTGAAGGACATTTGGGGCATTTCCAGTATTGAACTATGATGAGCAAAGCTGGCAAAGTGCCGTTGAACAGTTTGGAGTGGGAGGGCAGAGAGGAGGTGGGGGAGGATGAAAAGGGGCACAGAGAAACTTCTGGAGGTAATGGATACGTTCATTATAAATTGATTGTGGTGATGGCTTCCTGGGTGTATATTTATATCAAAACTTACCAAACTGTACACCTTAAATATGTGTGGCTTATTACGTGTCAATTACACCTTAATAAATCTGTTTTTAAAAGTGATAAACAGGGGACTTCCCTGGTGGCGCAGTGGTTAAGAATCTGCCTGTCTGGGCTTCCCTGGTGGCGCAGTGGTTGAGAGTCCGCCTGCCGATGCAGGGGACACGGGTTCGTGCCCCGGTCTGGGAAGATCCCACATGCCGCGGAGCGGCTGGGCCCGTGAGCCATGGCCGCTGGGCCTGCGCGTCAGGAGCATGTGCTCCGCAACGGGAGAGGCCACGGCAGTGAGAGGCCCGCGTACCGCAAAAAAAAAAAAAAGAATGCCTGTCAGTGCAGGGGACATGGGTTCGATCCCTGGTCCTGGAAGATCCCACATGCCGTGGAGCAACTAAGCCCGTGCGCCACAACTACTGAGCCTACGCTCTAGAGCCCTCGAACCACAACTACTGGGCCCGTGTGCCACAACTACTGAAGCCCGCGCACCTAGAGCCTGTGCTCTGCAACAAGAGAAGCCACCGCAATGAGAAGCCTGCGCACTGCAACGAAGAATAGCCCCCGCTCGCTGCAACTAGAGAAAGCCCTCATGCAGCAACGAAGACCCAACGCAGCCAAAAATAAATAAATACATTTATTGAAAAAAGTGATCAGCAGCCCTTAGATATTGTTTTAGCCACGTGATTCTTTATTCACAAAAAAGTTTATAGGAAGCTCAATATGTAACAGAGATGAAGCCAGAGCTGCTTCTGTTAACTGGTGGGGTGGGGTTTCTGGGCCCTACGTACTCAGCTTCTCCCCTGCCCCTCCCAGTGCCCCTGAGGCATCTCCCCAGGGCTTCGCAGAAGTCAGTTTGAAAAACACTGGCCCAGAGGGTCTCTGATGGCCCTGCAGGTTCTGGGTGTTGATGATACAAGAACCTCCAGGCCTGGGTCTGGGCTTCCTGCCAGTCTCTACACTTCATCACAGTATGGGTCTTACACACAACTATGTTCTATTGCACTACCTATGCGACAAGCACCCACTCACCTGACCCCTCAGCCAACAGTCACCTCCCCAGCAAAGTGTAATGGGGGCCCCCAGGGAGCCTTAATGCACCTTCATCTGGGCTCCAGCTGCTTCCCATGCTGGCTCTCACCCACTGTGCTGCCTTTGGCTGTTGTTATCTGTCCATCCACCACTGAAACCTCTGTGCCTGGGTCACAGTGTCCAGCACCAGGCCTGGCCCAAGGCAGGCACTCAGCACAGGTTGATTGAATGGACCTCAGCTCAGCCCCTCCTGGACCATGCTGAGCAGGGTCCAATGTCTTTCCTTGACTCTCTAAGGGCCTCAGTCACCTGGCCCTCGATCAGCTCTCTAGCTTCATCTCCTTCGCTCCTCATCCCACCTGCTTCAGCCACTGGCCTCCTTGCTGCTCCTCAGAAGTGTCAGGAATGCTCCCCCCTTGGGGTCTTATCACTTGCTGCTCCTTCTGCCTGAATCCTCTTCTTCACTATATTTATTTAGCATTTTTCTTTTTTTCCATTTTATTATTTTTTTAACATCTTTATTGGAGTATAATTGCTTTACAATGGTGTGTTAGTGTCTGCTGTATAACAAAGTGAATCAGCTGTATGTATACATATATCCCCATAACCCCTCCCTCTTGCGTCTCCTCCCACCCTCCCTTCTTCACTATATTTAATTGGCTCCTCTCTCACCGCATGCAGACATCTGCCCAAACATCACCTTCTTAGCTAGGCCTCCCCTGACCTAAAGTACCTCCTCCTACCCATCACGTTCTATCCCCTAGCCCACCTTACTTTATTTTCCTAGTACTTACTACTACCTGACTGTCAGGGAGTCCCCTCCGTGCCCCGTGCCATGGGGAATCAAAGCACCATCTGTGCTGGGGCAGGGGCTCCCTGAAGCCACGTACTTCCTGCTCTTTCTAAGCAAGGTATAACTAGTTTGGTTCGCAGTGAGAAGGATTTAGGTTAGACAGGAATATGCCTCTTTTCTCCCACATGTCACAGTAATGAACACACTGTGAGATCACGGTCCTACTCCCCCATCACACTGAGTTGGTCAGTAACATCTGATTCATCTGTGTTCCCAGGGTGGGGCATTGGGTCTTCCCTAGGAAATGAATGAATGAATCACTGCTGAGAATAAACAAATGGATGTAAATCGATTCATTCATTCATCAAATATTTCTTGAGCAACTACTATGTACCAGACATTTTTTAAAGTGCTGGACATACAAACTGACAAAATTTTGCCCTCATGTATCTTATGCTCTAGTTGGAGAGACAGACAATGAGCAGATATTATATAAGTGTTGGGAGAAGCAATCTGCTGTGGGCTCTGAGTCCCTGCAGGTTCTTGCTGGGCATGCCAAGAAAGCAAGGCTCTGAAAGCTCTTTACCCAGGCCATTTCTAAGGGTTTGTTTTTGCAGCAAGCAACCTTGAGGGTTGGGAAAAGAACAGGAAAAACAAGCAACCGGAAAAAGGACAGGCATGCCTACCACTCACTGTTTTACAGTGTTTGAATTTCTAACCTCTGTGTTCCTCTCCTATAAGGCCATCCACGAGGTGTACAGGCAAACATGATGGGTGGGTCCTTTGCAGGGCTTGCGGGACGTGGGGAAAATGACACAAACAAAGGTAAAGCCACAGCTGCTGCTTTTACCTTGAGTAATAATGTCCTTTGTCCCTTACCCAGGAGTTTCATGTCTTCTGCAGCATCCATGAAAAGGTAACAGACTATTACTAAACAGTAATAAAGAGTAACAGTTTATTAGTTTGTAAAATCTCAGGTGCTGCCCAGTTCTAGTCAATATGGGAAGTGCTATTGAGAAAACTGAGCAGAAAAGGGGAGAGAGGGATTATGGGAGGGCTTGCTATTTTAGATAGGGTCGTTAAGAAAGCCCCCTCTGATGAGGTGACATTGCAGCAGAAACCTGAATAAAGTGAGGAAACAAGCCATGTGACTATTTGGGAGGAGAGCATTTCAGCCAGAGGGAACCACAGGGCCAGGGGTCCTAGAGCCGTTGTTAGAGGGAGAAGGGCAGAAGATCAGGCCAGAGAGACTGTCAGGGGCCAGAACC